ATTCTTTGAGGACCCAGCGGCCTCACTGGTGTCTTTGAAGGACTCACCCTACATAATGTTTTTCCAAACACACTATCAGATAAAAATGTTCATCAACTCGAGTAAAATAAACTGACGATACTAAAACACAGATGAAATGTACCTGATATGCTGAGATCCCAGAAGTTCACCACAACAGTTGAGAGCCAATATTGCACTGTCTGCCTGCAAATTCGTTAAAAGTATCATCAAGTTACTCTGACTTCTCTAAGAAATTTGATTTCGTATAGAAAAAAAAAAATTGCATAAGTGTTACATACCATGACGAATTCAACAAAAGCAATTCGTGTGGAGTGCATGTGATCTCCCAACAGCCTCAATTGAGAAACCTAAATCAATAAATATTCAGCAAAACCACTTGCACAAGGAAAAAACAAAAAAAGGGTGATTTTTAACGTCAATGCGTACGTACCTCGCCACATCTTGTTTCGAAAAAGCTTTTCACATCACCTTGAGAGACCTGTTTAGAATGACATATATTAACATATTTCAAAATCACTTTGGCATATATTCACCATTTAAAATTAAGGACTGTTCTTGAAAGAAATAAAAATGAACAACCTTCTTATCAATATTTGTACAGTATACTGTCCTGGCACACATCTCACGTTCATCCTCTGACTGGACATGAAAATCATTTATAGAATCAACGATTAAGCAAAGTAGTTCAAATATATTTTTAGAGGAAAGAAAAGAAAACACAACAAGTTATGGTAAAGCAGCAATCGGAAGAGACGAAAGGAATTTTGTTTTCACAGAAATAGGAATGATGGAAAAAATACTCGTCTTACCCTTGGAAGGAATGTAGGGTTCACAGGAAGAATGGCAGTTTTGGAAGGCAAAACCTTAATAGGTGAGAAACCTAACTGTGTCCCAGTAAGGGTAAGAGCAGCCTTAGCAGAATCTGTTCACATAATTAAAGTAAGAAAATATACAGTTCAAAGAGAAAAAAAATGGGATAAAGCTCACATTCGTCAGAAAATTCCACAAAAGCAAAGCGAAGACGGGAATGCGGATCACCACATACTCGGCAATCAACAACCTGCAAAATACATACACAG